ATTATATATAATAAAAATTTCATATTAGATTATTGTAATATAAATTATGAAATAAATGATCTTTTTATTGTTTAGTTTGGACTTATAGATTATTTCTATATATAAGTAATCAATTCGATTTGCAATAAACAATTTCTATTATAGTTCCATTGATTATCTCTAAATAACATGTGTGATTTCGAAGTTTCTTTGGGAGAAGAATCTTGAAGGGCTCGTTCAACAGTGGAACCAATCCTTTCTTCATGATTTCCTAGTAAAAGTGCGTAGGCGTATGCCCTTTAGGGAGTAACAGATCAAGGACACCCATAAAAGGGCTACTACCTTCTTCGAGGCCCTTTACCATAGAATTTCGGCGTTGGTTCATCTCAACGTTTTCATGGGTTCCTGTTGCTCGCATTTATCTTTAAATCAGTACCGAGCAATCTTCTACGATCAAAATAATCTTTCACCCACTTAAGAATATAATATTCCCTTTTTTTTTATTTTTTTTTTTTCACGACGATTACTACCAACCTGTTTCCTAGTGTTATTTCCAATTTTTTTCCTCCCTTTTTCTTTCACGAGAAAGTCAAACAGGAATCAGGATAGTAGCAAAGCATCTGATCTTGAAATTATATATTAGAAATGTCTGTCAGGAAAAATACTTTAAAAGGAAACAATAATTTTTATCGTTGACGAGATATTGCAAATATTTATCGTTCCTTTTGAATTTATTTTCCTTTTTTCTTTTTTTCTGCAAAAGATAGACAAAACAGTCATCAGGATAATTTGTCTTGAAATTATTACAAATGGTTTGCTCGCATAAAAATATTATTTACAAACAAATATAGAGAAAACAAATATAGATTGTTTACAATCTATGCATCATGCGTCGTGCATTGTTCGTTTGAATTTGTTGTATTTTTTGTTTTGTACAAAATAAACAAATTGGAATCAGGATAGTATCATACTTCTTTGGAGATTCGTAAACATATTTTGCTAACAGAAATATGTTAAAAAATAAGAACTTAATTTTTTTTCTCTCTCTTTATCTTTTTTCTTGTCTTTCTCACACACATGCATACTGCTAAAAATGAATAATAACTCCTATCAACGATATCTCCATTATTACTTTCCTCCAATTAAACCAATACTAAACATACACTCTTACACAATACACTTACCCAAACCATATATATATATATTTATTTATATAACTTTTTAGTCTATGGTAGAAATGTCCAAGTAATCAGGAAACCATAGATTCAAAGCTCGAAGTTTGTATTCTTCTTCAAACTTCCGGAAGGTGATCGAAGAAAGAGAAAAAGTATAATATATAAGAAACACGAAACATGAAGGGTACACGCAAAGTATAACATATATATATATATATATACTACCACACATGCAAAGATTATAAGCATACACGTGTAAAGTGTATGTGAACATATACATATGTATATATATATATATATATATATATATATTTACTCTCTCTTTTCATCTTTCTCTGACTTTATTCTCTGCACACCCTATGCATTCAATTCATCGTTAAAAGGCTGAAGAAAGATAAATCGCGCAGATGTCAACGGTATTAGGATAGCATGATCAAACAGAAACCCACGTGCGCACCATGCCACACCACCGAACCAATTTTCAAGGCGGAGACATGCCTAAGCGATGGGGATAGGGGTAGGGGTACGTGTGTGAGTGGGGGTGGGATGTTTGGACGACCTCAGAGCAATGGTGGCATGCTAAAGAATAGAAACGGTCAATGGGAACACGTGCATATATTATATAATGAAATACTTTTATTCGATCGAATATCAATATCATTCAATTATTTATTTATCATTCATTTTATATTATTTTCAATTGAACGATGATTTTTAATCTATGAATATAATAATTATTTGTATGATAAATATTTCTAAGAGAATTCATTGTAATCGTTAAAAGACACAATTTGGATTGGATTTAATGTTAAATTGAATTATTAGATGAGAAAAATTGTTTAGTAGAAGTAATTAATAATAATAATAATATAAAAAGGAGCAAAGTAGAAGAAATGTAATATCATCGGACCTGTAAGTATAAAATTTATTTGTATGAATGCTTACATGTATGATAGATTTTCTCATGAATTTTTATCAAAAATTAAGTTTCAAACGAGAAGATTTTATTCTTTTTAAATGTAAAATTATTCTTTGGCTGGTTGTAATACGATTACAGTGACGCACTACATATTTTATATTAATATCGATTAATACGTGAACT